CTCAGGCAAGTTATCACCATAAAGCAGTTTCAATAAAAGAAGATGGATAGCCATATATGTCAACTACAAAATGATAAATGAGATGAGTTTCAGGTCCACTAGAGAAGAAAGAGGAGAATGTAGTTCATTCTTGACCAGACTCACTTTATGTGTTTAATATCTATGGTAGGGAAACCCAATGCCAAGTTTATAAATTATATTTACTTAGGGTCTCTAGGAGTTTTCTAACATAGTTTTCTATATGAATATACCTATAACCTCAAGCAATAACTATAGCACTCAATCAGAAAAGAATATGCACGAAGTTCTCCTTAGGGTAAATTCACAGGTGCACAAATATAAAATCAAAACCTTCCCTCTCACAGTTTCTAAACTGCTTTTATATCATGATGGATGTTTATGTGAAGCAGATGATCTGCTTCATTATGAGGGATGTTTATGTGAATCGAGGATCTCATTAACTCCATGGAGGTCTAACTATAGTGTAACTTCATTAGTATAAATACAATCTAGAGAATGCCCTTTCTGACTTCATTGTGGTAGAAATTGGTATCAAGGGAAGTGAAAGTAAGACCAGGATGTCTTTTTTTGCGGTATGCGGGCCTCTCACTGTTGTGGACTCTCGCGCTGGGGAGCACAGGCTCCGGACGCGCAGGCTCAGCGGCCATGGCTCACGGGCCCAGCTGCTCCGCGGCATGTGGGATCTTCCCGGATCGGGGCACAAACCCGCGTCCCCTGCATCGGCAGGCGGACTCTCAACCACTGCGCCACCAGGGAAGCCCAGGATGCCTTTTTAACCACAAAGGAGTAGCACATAACCTGTGTATGGGAGCAAGATTTGCCACCCCAAAATGTCTCTTTGGCATGTGGATTATTTCAAACTGAAAATAACCAAGGCCCAAAACACTCAGGAAGAAATTTTGACCTTCCCCCTGACTGCCTAAAGAATGTAGATAGAGAACCTGTTCCAGGAAGGGAGTAATCACCATAGATAACTATAATATGAACTAGGCAAGGAGATAGGGAGAAACCTAGGAAAGTCTGTTAAAATTCCTCTTTGTGTCCCATTGTTTCTGCACGTCCTACCAAACATTTGCTTTCCCCTCTCCATGTCAGTTGCCTTCTTCACATTTGAGGTCCCAAACCACTACCCCCAACATCCTCTTTTGTCTTTAGCTGAAGATATTTAAGTTAAAAGTTTCAGACGTTTTGATGAGTTAGTTTTCCTGGGTCTCTCCCATGTATACATATTATTAAACTTTTGATTTTTCTCTTATTAATCTGTCTCATGTCAATTTAATTCTTAGACCAGCCAGAAGAACCTAGAAGGGTAGAAGAAAGTTTCTTCTTCCCTGACACCTGTCATATAGTCAAAACTCAATATATGTTGAATGAATGAATAATCTAGGAACTAGTAACATAATATATGAAAACAATGATAAAAATGTAGCATATGAGTGGAACATAGATCACCAGGTCAATCAATTTTCTATATTGGTATTATTCATGGTGAGCAAACCCAGTAACAAGTTTATAAATTTTATTTTTAGGGGCTCTAGGATCCTTTTCCAACAGCTTATCTACACTAATGTGCTCATACAGCAAAGTCTAGAGCACTCAACCAGGAATGCCATGTTTCAATCTTAAGGAGAACCAATGTCCAGCTCAACTGCCCAGTTGAGGGGTCTGCATGAGTAAATTTGACACGGCATTGCACTCTTGCAGTATTGCTCCATAGCTGGTGTGAGGCTGTATTTCCAAAACTTGGAATCTGTATTATTCATAGGGTTATACTGGGTGGAGAGGGCAGTCTCAGTGTACAATCACAGTGATTGTTAGGGTATGCAGAGGAAGTTTCATGCTAGATTTCACATTTAATAAAACCAAGTTAAAAATCATTTGACCAGGGACTAGAAATAATCCATAGTGTTTTTGACAGCGTCTTGAAAAAAAGTGTAAGGCTCCCAGAAAACACTATAATTCTTCAGAGATTGAGGACCAATTGATAAGGAAGCCCGTTATTAATGTGTAACACAAGTGGTTTTGGAAATCAAGAATATGAACTCTGATTTCTGTCTTCTGTGATAAGTTATTTTTCCCTCTAGTGTATCTCTTGCATTAGGGCAAAAGTAAAGATAAGAGAGAAAAAAATAAATAGACATCTCTTCTTTCATAATTTTGCATTCCATTTAACCAAGCAACTCAATTTTTTATGAGTATGAGAAAAAAAATCAATATTTAACTTGAAGAATGTTTACCACACTTTGAGCTGCAATGACAATGAATAAAGAAATAAATAAATAAGGAACAACATAAATGTCCACCAATAGAGGAATGGAAAAATGCATTATAGGTATATCCATTCAGAAGAATTTCATGCAGTCAATAAATATAATCATGTAGAAGAATATGAAATGACCTGGAAGATATTTCTGATGCAATTTAAGTAAATAAAGCATGTTTCAAAAGCATAATTAAAGTATTTCTTAAATTTATTTTATTTATTTATTTATTTATCTATCTATCTATTTATTTATTTATTTTGCACAAGTACTGATTAGAGCTATTTCTGGCTAGAGAAATTGTAGATGAAGAAATTAAGGTTCAGCAGTTTAACTGATTTCTAAAAATTCATACAGCAAGAGAAGTGTAAGACTGGGTTTCAAACCTAACATTAACATGTCAGGCTTCCAGGTCTGGGCTTTTTTTTAAACCACATTTTGCTGCTTGTATAAAATCTGCATAAGGTGTATTAACTAGGAACTCCATGATGGGCTTAGAAAAATAGTTTACCTAGATTTAAACAAAAAGAACATTCTAAAAGAACTAAGCATATTGTATCTTTCTCACTTTTAACACTCCAAACAAGTTATAGGATTTATATTTACATTTGTTCTTATCAATACGTATACTAATGATTTATAGAGTTAAATACAGATTTGATTGCAAAAAATCAACTGATTTCAGCGCCAACTCAGTCCTTTTGTTGAAATTCTCTCACACAGTTTCCAAAACTTCTGGTAATTTCAGTCTTGAGAGGGTACCTTACAAGCCCAATGCACTAGCATCAGTACACTGGAGGAGAGGGGGTGGGAGAGCAAAGTGGTCATTATATCTTGTATGTTGATTCTTTTAAGGCTCTGCAGTAAATTGTCTTCATTGAGATAGGGTAAAATTTTTCTCCAAAAGAGGTTAGATTAGGTGAGTTTCTGGAAGTTCAACATTAACATTCTTTAATTCTCATTTCTACTTCTGTAGCCCAAAGGCAAATTAAGGAGAAGAGGTAATAAGTAATACAGTTGGCATTTGGCACTTGATTTATGAATTTTGATTGAAGGTGTAGATGATCAATCCTCCTACTTTGTTTCTCCCCTTATTTCCTATCTGTTCTCCCTTAAGGTTTATATGGCAGACAGATACCTTGATAATTTAATGGTTGGAAAGAAAACAACCGTTACATGAACTTTGTCAAAAGAGAATGAAATCAACTTAAGAATAACATTTAAAGGCATGAGAGGACACAGCAACCCTTGAAAGACCTGAAGAAAATTCTCTGATGGCAAGGAAAATAATAAAAAAGTAAATGATAAGAAATGAGATTTCTTGGACAACAAGCCAAGGTGAAGGTATTACACAAATGTGAGTTATTTTTATCCCTCCAGTGTTGGGTATAATGAGAAGAAAAGGAGTAGTCTATAAAGTAATGAATTTAAAGTCAGAAAACATTGCTTCTAGGCCTGGCCCTAACACTCAACAATTGATTAATATTGGTGAAATGACTTCACCCCATTAGTCCTCAGTTTGCTTATCTGTGAAATGATGGTAACACCTGACCACCTCCCACGATAGTTGTGTTTGTAAAGAACAACAACAAAAATACAAACAAAAAGTAATGAGTGTCCTTGGAACACTGTAAAATGCTATGCAGCTGTTAGCTGTTTACTATAATTATTCTCTAAAGTGCCTGCAAGAATTTATTAACCTCAGTAACCAATGGGATTTCCAATGGTATTAGGAAGAGCTGTCAAGCAAAACGTTTTTGACTCTTGTGTGAAACAAAACAGTGATGCCATTTTTATAAGCCAGGTTATAAAAATAACTGTGCTGAAATGTAAATAAACTTCTACAAATAAACACTAACGGAAATGGACTCAGATTCCAGAGGAGGTTATCATCAAGTGGATTTATCTGTCTTCTACCGTTGGAAGAGCAAGGTGATCAGTGTAGAAAGAAAGAATTTGGGAACAAAATAAATTTGGGGTTAGTGCTAGCTCCTTAACTAACTGTATGATTCTGGGAAAATTAAGTAACTCCTCTGACCTTTCAGTGTTCTCACCTGTAAAATGGGTAAAATAATGAGTATTATATTACCTAACTTGTAGGTTCAGATTAAATTAAATTAGATAATATAAAGTGCCTAGTACAGAGCCTGGCACATGGCAGGCACTCAGTGAATGTGAGTTATTATCATTATCTCACTTTTCCTAGTTCCCTTTAAAGTCTACACACTTATTTACCTGTAATTCCCCAAGTCCATTTCTTTCTTGGATACTCTATGTTGTAGCCTCCCCGTAGTTACTGGAGCAACCTGCACATAGAACTCTTTTAAAATGTTTATTTAAACTGTGTCTTTCCTCCATTATGTCTATCTGATAATAAAATCACTCATTCTTTATCTTGTGTTAAAATCATTTTATTGATCCTATAAAGGTATTCCATAAAATGTATTATGTTAAGTACTTAGGATGGTTAACACAACTTCTGACCCTAAAAGTAATCATATTATGGAGGAACACTGAACCAAGGGGAAATAAAAAAATAAATGAAAATAGAAAGTTAAAGGGAACTTTAAATAGAAATTAACCATCATAAGACAATGATACACAGTTAATATTTAAAATTTTTGTATATAAATAATTTTCAGGATGGAAAGTTATTTCTCATAACTAATTAAATAAATGTGATCATTCATAATCTACTGAGGAAATCAGAGAGTCTTTCTAATTTTCTTACTCCATTTCTTTAGAGTACTACCAAAATAAAATATTCAATAAAAACATTACTTTTTATTTTCCTGGATGGAAAAGGATTAACCCTAAACAATTGTGTCTGAAGGTTATCTGAAATTTATCAGTATGTTGTGTGTATATATGTGTTATGGTATGAATGTTACTCAACTTCTCTTTTCAGTAATCCCAGCCTTTTTTCCCCCTTCTTCTTAAAACGATGGTTGCCTTTCTTGGCCTAATGAAATCCTATTTATCCAGTTAAATGTAACTTCTTCCGGGAATTCTCACATTACCCATGGACCCTCCCTATCCACCCTAATACAAGTTGAAATAGTTTATCTTTCTCCTGCACAACATAACATTTTGTCTATATCATTATGTACCTTAGCAATTGAGGTCTTTTTCCTAAGACATAGCAATGTCTGCAGTATAGTTGGCACTTGGCATATAAATTTTGGTTGAAGGTGTAGATGATTAATTCTCTCTTTCCTTATTTCCTACTTATCCTTTCTTAAAGTTTGCAATGAGTTACAATGTGGTACTACTTTAAGAATTGGGGAAGTTGGTGAGATTTGGGGATGGTGTTGGAGGAAAGACAACCATTTTGCTTCCCCTTTCCATATTTCTTAATTTGCATTATATGTTTTTAATTATATTACAGAAATTTCCAATCCAATCTCAAGAACAATATTCTGTCAGCGTTATGTTAGAAAAGAATGAATTTGAAACAATTCTTAAACAATACACAGAACACTGTGCAACATCCTGTGGCGACTTCCTCCAGCAAAATCTTGAGGCATTTCTTTAGCATTGTCTTTATCTTCCCACGGTGACTTATGAGGCATGCTTAAGAAAATTTTATATTAAAGGTCAGAGACTCCAAAAGATCCAGCCAAAATTTTGGGAAGTTTATAGTGTGATTAATTCCTGGAGTCCTTCTTTTTCCAGCCCTTTAATTTGTGTAATCACATTGAGTGTTCAAAGTATACACTGCTTTTTAAAATCTTTCAAATACTCTGGGCACAGCCACAACTAGGAATTCATAAAAAGAACTGATTAACATTCCCCACCGAAAGGATCCTTGAAGGAAACTAAAAACAAAAAACATATTTTTGCTGAATCCAATTTGCTTACATTTCAACACACATAACTCCACTTAACTGGCCATCACAGCAAAAGCCACAACACACACCCACAGCAGCAGCAGCATGGAGCTGACCACACAACTCAACAGACAATGCAGACAAACTTGAGTATAAACCAAGATTTTTCTACCTCTTTTCATAACAGGTTAGTGCTGGCCCTCAGTGTTGGTGTACAGTTTTTATGGCATGGGAAAATAGGGATGTTTCTGCCCTATAAAAATAAATGTGTTGAAGGCTTTAGTTTGAGCTTACACAATGTTAGAAAGTTCCAAAGGCACTGGCACAATATCAAAAAAAGAAAAAAAAAAAAGAATCCCACAAACAAATATATCACTTATGCACATGGAAAGATGCTAAGAAAACACTGGTAGGGAAACTACTGGTTTCCTGGATGATTTATGCAATAGTTTTCAATACCTTCCTGAAAAATAAAGAATAAGAAAGGCATGCTAGTGGGTCTTTGGTGGGGCATATATTGTTGCTGACCCCCATTCATACTGAGTCTGGCTTTAAACTGTTCAATAAGTCATTTTCTCCCTGCAAAAGTAGAAAGCACAGAACCCTCATTGTTCTTAACCTTTTAAGCCTTAGGAAGAGCTAAGGGAAAGAGTATAGAAATGCATGCACTATCTTTAATGAAGAAAGAGATACATAGAATAAAAATTAAAATATAAAGAACAGTTTCTTCATTTTATGTATCATAATACACATTTCTTTCCAAGCCTTAGTTTGATACATATAGATTTTCACGTGTGATATCTTATCTACTCCAGAAAGTGCTGGGACAGAAAGATAAGTAGGAAGCAGGAAATTCTGAATTTGAATAAAGGCAATAAATACCTTTGCTGTTACATCAAAGGATGCAAGGTGGAAGATGGGGCTTGAAACTGGGAATGTTTCCCAATTGGACTTAATGATTTGTAATTCCTTAAAAATTAAAACTTACCACATTCTGTGCAAAGTTTTCAAAAGATGTTCTGCGATCCATTGAGTATTCCGACTTACATGTGTGGGGTTGGGTGGGGCAAAGGAACAAAGAGAGAGAGAGAAGAAAGAAAGAAAGAAAGAAAGAAAGGAAAGAAAGAAAGAAAGAAGGAAAGAAAGAAAGAAAGGAAGGAAGGAAGGAAGGAAGGAAGGAAGGAAGGAAGGAAGGAAGAAAGAAAAGAACAAAAGAAATAATGAGAAGAAGGAAGGAAGGAAGGAAGAAAGAAAGAAATAAAGAAAGAAAAAGAAAGAAAGAAAAACAGCAGAAAAAGACAGGATGATGAAATGATGCAACACCAAATTCATGTTCTAAATCATAGGGATCAGGAAGACAGGAGAGTTGCCACAGAAGGCCATGTCACAGGACATGGGCTCTGTTTGCATTAGTGCTTTTAATTTTAACACCAAAATTCTTCTTGTGCAAACAAAATAGTGTGATTTCAAGCAAAATCAAATTACACTAAAATGAAGTAGATATGTTAAGGTTTTATGCCAACATTTTCAAAGCCTAAATGTTTGAAAATCTATTGGCTTAACTTCAGAATTTCCTCATAATTTTCTACTGGTACTAAATTTCTGTTGATAACATCAATTCTGTAGAGCATTGCTATCCAATAAAACTTTCTGAAAGCATGGAAATTTCATTCTATACTAAATGATATTTCAGAAGTCTTTAGCTGTGGCCATTGAGTACTAGAAATTTGAGTAGAATTTTATGTAACCTTAACTAATTTAAATTTAAACAACTCCATGTGGCTAGTGGTTGCTGTACTGGACAGTGCAACTACAGAGTATCTATTTCCCATTGCAAAGTCAATGGACTTTGAAAAATACCTTTAGCTTAAATGATGATCATGAATTACACAAAATTATAATTTCATCTCAGGATTTCAAGAAGCTATGGACTATTTTAACATTACAAAATAATGAATGATGTTGATGTTTACATCCAGATTTTCCATTCCCTGTTATACGGGTTATATAAGGTGTTATTTACAGTGAGACTTTGATTATAAACATTTATTGAACAATGTAGCCTATTGCAGCTCTTTGAAAATGTGCTTGGCTATCATCTTAGGTATGAAACCTCATCGTAGGGATACTAAGTGACTCAGAATAAATGCCAAATGAAAATATGTGGAAGCAAACATTACTGCTATCATTACAACTATCATTGAAAACAATGAGTTATGGAGTGTATGGCCTAAAACATACATTCTAGCTTACTGGACAAGGAAAACGCTAAGTTTTTGATCTGATGACATTGTTCTTTTCCTCTCTTTATTGTAATATTTTATTTCCTTAAACTGGCATACAGAAGACTAACATGAAACATGAAAACGGTGTCTAAACAACTTTGTAAAGCATGAACATCTGCAGAAACAAACAAAGAAGAAAATAAGCATTCAACAAACAGAAACCCATACAACTTAAGTGGCCCTTATAAAATGCAAAGGTTTGGAGGCGGGTCTTGGAGTATATTCACTTACCATTTGTCCAATAGTGTGGGTCCAGCAGAGGTAACTACTCCAAATAACTACAACTGAGAACTAGGTCAAAAAAATTCACAAAGAACCAATACATTTTTCTTTGCCTGTAGAAGCTCTTGATAGGCACTGGATCTTATAAAACGTGGGTATGAATCACTTTTCATCAGTTTGTAAATGTGCTCCTAAAAAGAAATAATGGTTGAGGTGCTTCCTTATTATTTCTCAGGAAAAATCAAGTACTGTGATAAGAATACAACATTTGGTTCAAAAACAAATCTGGAAGCAGCTAAAAATAATAATGATAATGCTGATGAGAATACCTTATATGCTTATAGAACATTTAGACTTTCAAATTTATTATTTTATTCAAGGATCAATGTTTAAACTGGTTTGGGAGCTAAACCACAACCAGTCCTTAAAAAAAAAATGGAATTTAGTTAGCAGATAGTCATGAAGTAATTTCAAATCAAGTTGTTGATTTACATAGATCATTTAAGAATATAAATAAATCTGCTGTCTCTTAAGATTACTCCAGGCCAAAAGACAATGATGTGAAGTCAAGATTCAATAATCATTCTAGAAGCCTTTGGCATTTATATGTAGTTGGAGGGTGCAGACTTCCCAAATGAATCATTTGTTTGGTGAAAACTGTCATCTACATCCACTTTAGGCCAGAGCACAAGTCCAAAAATAAATTTTGTGATATTTAATTGCTAAACCTCCCAATTTGTGTGCATGTTTTGACTTATTCATAGATAGATTAGGTAAATATTTGATAATCCTAATCAGTCTGCAATGTTCTGTTTTGATGATGAATATTGGTAGATAAAGAAGAAAAAAATGTATCCATCCAATTCAGTGTTGGCCCAATCTAGGGAGATTCTGCTTTGGCTTATTGCACTCTAGGGGAGCATAAATGCTCCTTGTTCATTCCAGTCTGTTAGACACGGAGTTTTGAACAACTTGAGAGTATCCGGAATGTCCCAGTCTCTTCTTGTTTGGAGAAAATATATATTTTAAGAAATGACTCAGTTTCCCTGGTCTTAAACACACCAGCGATAATTTGTAGTTACTGTGAATCCACTTAAAGACGTTCTGGATTAAGTCTCAATATCTAGTCTAAGGTTCATCTCCAAAAATATGGTACATTTGGAACTGCATCAGAATTTGTTGTTGGAAAAGTGAGGCAATGTCTTATTTAGAAGTCAATCATTTTGGGATTCAGATGTTATGTTGCTCAAGATCTACCACTTATAAAATGTAAATTTTGACCACTTTATTCATTTCTCTGAGTCTAAATTTTCTAATCTATAAAATAGAGTTATTGTCAGGATTAGAGGAATGACAAATGTTTAGCAAAGTATAAGGGTATGCATAGTAAGTGCTCAAATATGCTTGAGTATATGCCAGGTACACTTCTAAGTGCTTGCCTATATTAGTTAATTATATCCTCACAAAACCTCAACAAGGTTGGTAACCATTGTTATATCTATTTTAAATATGAAGAAACTGAAGCATGAAGAAGTGAAGTACTTGCAATAGGTCACAGAGCAAAGCTCAGACTAAAACCCAGGCAATTTGGCTCCAGAATCTGCTTTCTTATTACATTGCATCTCTTCTTAAACAGCAGCAGGAAATTCTATTATTATATTTTTGAATATATGGTTTAAAAGCCTACAAAAAGCTGGAATTAAATATCTGAGGTTGATTGAAAAAAGAAGCCTACGGTCAGGTAGTAGTGTTTTCTATAGAAAATCATGCCTTTTCCTTTTATTGAAGACCCAATAAGCAAGAATATTCTTCAATGACAAAGATAACAAAGAAATGTTCTTTTTAATATTAAGATTTGGGGAAGGTAATTTCAAATATTTTACACGCTGTTGGCTCCAGAAAAATGCTTGAAAGTTTATCTTGAACCGCAAGAAAGAAAAACCAGCAGAGAAATTAGCAACAGAGCCAGAATTTTCATCCTGCTCTCTCTCATGTGTCTCCATAGAATGTAATTATTTCCACATAGAAGACCATAGCAGAGTCAGGGCGAATGAATGGGTTTTTGGTTGGCTGTTTCAACTTGCGTTAGTTTTCTGCACAGTGGCTCATTTCTTTTTAAACCAAAGCAAAGGATAAACATATTTTCTACCGAGAGTAAAAATAAGAAAGGAAATTTGTGTACCTTATTCTTCATCTTCTATATCTTGTTTTAGTAATGTAGTTATTTAAAAAACAAGATACTTTCTATAGCTAACATTCTTCTCTAAAAGAGGTTTTAAGAAATTATGAAGCATGCATGTTCTGGTTTAAAAGCTAATTTCAACATATCATTAGGAAATAATATCCTCTCATTTCATGTTTATTTTTCCTATTGAGCACAATATTTTTTTAGAAAAAGTAGAAATTCAAATTGCTTCTAAGGAGGCAATTACACCCAGTTTGAGAAAAAAAGAAAAAACACATAAAAATTTGTCTTAGGATGTTAATAGTAATATCAATTTCCTTTTCTCTTCTTTTTGCAGACTAAAAAAGTAACTTGGAAAAATAATAAATGCCTAAATTTACTATTTCATTTTATCATCAGAGACAAAAGTGGTTTGAATTTTACATAACTTCAAGCTAATTTAGTTTAGTTCTGACTATCCATAATAATAAATTATTTAGGAATGTCAGAATCTTAGAATCTCCTCATTGGAAGACAAGTTAAAGAGTTCAAATACATGTTACTGAGGTGACAAAGTAGAAAATAAAGTAAAAAGTTTTCAAATATTTAAAATATTTCCCTTCAAGAAATTTTCTTGTAAAAACATTCAAATTTACAAAAATTCCCAGGCTTTAAAAACTCATTTTAAAGCATCTCTGTTTTCTTTTAGATCAATTAGTTATTTTACATACAGTTACCTAAATTGAAAATATTAGATATAGCCACCAATTATAATGAAAATAAAACAAAAGTATTCCAACTTTCAACTTCTCAGGAGAACATTTGTGACGCAATGTGAGGCCCATCCATGTACCAACCTGAGCATCTTCGAATGTGTATCGCCCGGGCTCCTTCACATTCTGTGTGGTTTTGTCATAGCTCTTAGAATCCAAGTTAATAGCACTGGGGGCTCCTGGAGCCAGAAATTCTTGCCATATTTCCTGAACTCGAGAGGGGACTTCTCTAATAGGCCTTTTCTTCAAGTCCTCCACTGCTAGCCAGAATCTATGCAAAATGTGACACCAAGCATTTACTCCAATGCCTCATAATCCGAAAATTCTTAAATTATTGACCTATCATTCAATTCACAATGAAGCATAATAATGAACTCATTTTCTCTGAAGGCTTCCAGAAACAGGTCTTTACCGATTTTTTTAATTAGTCGTATTCAAAGATATAACATTTGGGGAAAGGAAATCTTGAAAACTATCTCTTTTAGATGTTCTCTGTTAGAAACAGATCTGCCAGGGTCCTGATTCTGTACAACCTTAAATTTTACTGAAACAAAGGAGCACTGCTAAAGAACCATTTATTAGAAAGGAAGAGGAGTTTGAAGGGCATTAAGGGGAGTGACGTGGATCATCTGATTGCGGGGGATAAAGTATGCCACATATTCTATCTTTTGGATCTTTTGTCCATTTGAGCAATGAGGGTTAGTATGGAGAGGATTTTCTGCTCTACCAGGTAAGGGAATTACAGTGAAGCTTTACTGGGATTAAAAGAGGCCTGGACACAGATTAGAAAATGCCCTAGCTGGAGAAATCAGGGCAAGTAACTAATTTTAGGCGATTTAATTCAGGGAGTTATGAAATGACAGAAGCAGCAAGCTTTCACATGTAATTGTTCAAAAGGCTTAAATTTGCAGAGACATTATAACAATTCAGAAGTTCTGGAAAAAATAATACTGACTCACTGCTAAATATAAAAATATATTTGATATGCTTCTGTATAGAATATAGTATATTCTGAAAGGAAAGAACACCAGAACATGTTTTGCTTGATAAAAGCAAATAGCAAAGTCTAATAAGAAGTCACATTCTATTAATGGGTTTCATTTTTTAAAATTTTGCTCTATATTATGTCTTTTTGGTTAGACCTAGAAATGATGACAAAATGAATACGTATATAACACATCATATAGTGTTTTTAAATTAAAAAAAGATACCTGAAAAAGGAAGTACTAGATCTATGTTATCCTCAACAGGGGCCAGATGTGATCATGAAATGGAAAAGATGACAACAGAGGTGAAGGTCACTACAGGCTACAGAGTCTTAAGAAAGGTAGAAGGGGATAAGCAGTACCTTCATAACTATTACGTTTTAACTTGCGGATTAATGAAAGTTCAAAAATAAGTAATAAAGTAGTTGAGCTACAATTAGAATATCAAATATTACTCAACCTAGTAATTTTCCAGTTTCTAGATACCATTTTCCTGTAGATAGATAACAGTAGATAATCCAACATGAACAATGCTTTAAACATAAAACTACCATGGGTTGCTTTCAGAAGTGAAAGGTCAAGACCATTTCCTTTTAAAATACAGGTTCTGACACTGTGAAATCTAATAGGAAGGCTAGGTGCAATCTGAGGGAGCATAAGTGTTATAATTCATGCTCATTCAGGTTCATTTCAGCACTCTTTGAACACGTAGATAAAAATAATGTCTTTGTCCTTGAACTAGCAAAGATACACAATTCAAATGGCCATAATACAAGGAAGCACATGAGAGATTCTCAAGGAATAGCACAAACCGGATAGTCTGGGAATGCAGAGCAGGAAGGAGTCCCTCTGCTGGGGCAAGTACTGGGTTGGAAAAGGGAGTTCTAGGAAGGCTGTACAGATGCAGTGACATCTTAAATAGACTTGAAATTACGGGTGAAATATCAAAGGGTTGAAGAGGTAATACTAACAGCATCTACACTGACAAGTAAGTGCAGGCACTATTCTAAGTGATTTAGCTATATTAATTCATGCAATCCCTACAACTTCATAAAGTATGTGTTAATATTTCCCCCACTTTAGAGAAAACTGAAGATATGAAGGATAAGTCACTTATTTAAGTTACCCTCTGTGAGTGCCACAGCTATGGTTTGCCCCCAGATCTACAGCAGATGGCATGCTCAAAACCACTCTCTTGAATGCCTCTTTAAAAGTATCACTGCCTTTCTTATCGTCAGCATAGTCATTGTAATAATTTAGTAGAATGTAAAGGGCACTGACTATTTATTATAGCCCTTTATTATATGGTAGCTGGACTATGAGGAATTATCAATGTCTTTGAGCCTTGATTTTGTCATCAGTAAAATGGAATGCTAATGCCTATCTCACTGGGTTTCCATTAGATTAAATGAGATAAATTACGTAAAGGGCACTTTTGAAGTGCTTGACATATTTTTAGGCACTCATATAACATTCATATTATTACATTTACATAGTACTTACTCTGCTTTACCTGAAAAAGGAATGAGCAAAAATACACCAAGGGAGAGCAGAAGTTATATTTGAGGAATAAGTACTTATCAATAAGCAGTTTTTCTTGACTATTGTTTCTGTCTCAATACTAGAAGAAAATGCTCATATAAGTGTCACACTTCCCTAAATAGCAGATGCTAAATAAGATGCATTGAGACTTATTTAGGTGTAATTAGCCCTGCTGGCTAACTTGACTGTTTTGTCTCCCTCGGTCTGTGACAACAGATACCTAGGCAGAAGCAGGGGGTTTAGGTTGGGGGAGCAGTGGACAGTAGCTTGGTATTGGATTATAGAAAGCCTAGGATGCCAATTATTAGTAACCTGAATCTGAAAGATGCTTAACTTCTTCCAGTCATATTTTGCTTGCCTGTAAAATGGGGCAAGAATATTTACATTTCATTTCTGAAGTTATGATTAGATGAATGATAATCAGAAATAATAAATACAAAATACAGCATGGCATACTTATAAAAGTAGTAAATATGAAGCATATTATAGCATATAGAAGGTATTCAAGAATTATATTTATCAATCAGTATGGAAACATGTAACGCTTATGGTATATACTCAAGAAATATATATGTAACTATATATGAAATATATAATATTTTAATTTTACTTTGTTTTTATCTCAACATAACATGCAGTAAAAAAAATTAACAGGATTTATTAGCATTTACAATGCTTACAAAGAAAAAGGACTCTAAAAGCAATTTAGTTCAGATTTAAGAAATTGCTCTAATTAAACACTTATAATAAGTCTTTCCAAATGATCAGTTTAGCCCAAAATTTACGATAGCATTTGGTAGATATTTATGTCTGCTATGTGCAATATTTTTATATAACCTCTGATTCTTGGGATATCCAGCCCCTGTTTTCCTAACACAGCAGGAAAAGACATATACATGTGGCCATTTAAATTAAAGGAAGAAATGGAGTAAGGGAGATCCTAGACTGCAAAAACATATGCAAGCATTTACCTTTTCCAGAACTAAACGCTTCTTCCATAAAAATATTAAATATCTAAGCCCTATAGAACTAGGGCCGGGACTACTTCAAATTAACTATTCTGTATTTTTAAAATTTAGGACAGAAAGCCTTTTGGATGATATTTATACATTTTCACACAATGAAATATGTAATCTTTCTTATATGCAATTACTTATCAGGCAATCTAGTGTGGCATAGAATTACTGAGATAAGAAATAGTTAAGGCACGGATTAAGAAAACAGCAGTGATTCAATTTCATTCATGAAACAGAGTTTGCACACGCTATTCCTTTTGCCCCAAACTTCTTCCCTCTTCCTTTTTTGCCTGGTTATCTCCTTATCATCCAAGCCTAGAAGCTGTTTCTCTCAGGATGCCTTTACTGATCTCTACCTCTGGGTTTGCCATTCCTCTGTATTTCTCTGATCTAATACCCATGATTTTGTGTTGTGATCTGTTTTCTTCTCTGTATTCACCACTAGGCTGTACTTTTATTAAGAGCAGGAAGGATGTTTATTTGATTAGGTGATACTGGTGGGGCACTGCTTATTTATTTCTTCATCATGAAACCCATGATGTCAGCATTTTTTCAAAAACTTAGAGAATTAGAGGAAACTCCACCTCCCCATCCACTAAAAGGCTAGAAATAGACTTTATCTCTGCTTTATTTTTATTCATTCTTGTACTCAATAATTGATAATGTGACCTCAGGATAGAAAATATTATTTAGTAGGTCCAATAAAAATCCTTAGCAACTGAAGACCTTGTGAAAGCCCTGTCAAACAAGTGTTCTCATAAACTTGAAAGAGAATAGGAAGCTGCATCCCAACCATCCATGACAGGCATGCACATATAATTAAATTCCTCCAGACTCTGTCTGTGGTCAACTTGCTTAATCCATGGGACATCTGTCAAAATTTTATGTATTTCTGAATGGTTTGGTATTGATATCTGTTAAATCTCCTGTAAAGAATGTGACATTTCTGGAGCTGCTTAGTTCCAATGAAAACAAATGAATGCTGATGCCTTTCTGTAAATGAATTTCCCAGGACTGCACAAGTCATGAGAAAGTAAATTAGGATGTTAAGTTTCAAAAGAATAATGAATGAAAGAGCTTGTAGAAAAACCATTTTATGTAGTGGAAAGTTATCACTCACTTCAGTGATCTTAGAGCCATTAAAATCTATTCCAATGTCTCACATTTAAAATTTCAATTTCCAGGTGCCTCAAGTCAGAAAAGTTTCAAAAATATGTAAGGATGCTGTTTACAACAGATGGGAAGGATGCACACCCCTCCAGCAGGGCTCAGTGAGGTGCTGCTCTCAACTGCCCTGAGGCTGTATTTAAGTGTACAAAGTAAATGCACTCCATAGTCTTGTTTCAAGTTTTACAGAAGCACTCAATCTCTTTTTCTAGATCTTACTTGAGATGCAATCTACAAAGAAGACCAATATTGATAAATAGGTGATATTTTAATTAAACTGCATAAATATTATCAATGATTCCACACTTTGCCAAATACTAGTCTAAGTGTTACACTTCTTTATGCAGGCCATTTCAAATGCATCAGATTTACATAGGTAAAAGATCAGGAGACAGTGTAAAATAAACCTTTATGAGGAAGTGATAATGTTGGACAAAGTGCTTTGCCTTCATTACTTCTTCCATTACTTCTTCATTTTCTTCTTCCATCAGGAGGCAGAAATTCAATGGGCCCGTATCATCATCATGGTGTTGGTGGGATAGTAACTGGTCTATCAAGTGCAAAATAACCAGACTCATCACAGGTAGGTCTCTCTTGCATATAGTATAAGAGTCAAACAACATGGTTTACCTTAAGTTTTCTGAGCTGAATTCTGACTCTAGAAATTTAAGGAACTGTTCTCTCCCAACTGGATCTTTCAATGCTTCATCCATGCCAAAACCCCATCGTTTTACCCTCTGCTGGCTTGGTTCTTTGCTATAGGAGATAAAACAAAGCCAAATATATTCCCTTTCATTAAAAATTCTATCTTCTGCTATATTTCCCCTCAAAATCATATATGATTTTAATTTCCCATCTTTAGCATATTTTTCAGAAAAAAAAATCTGATTGATGGATCTGCATGAAATTATCATGAGATGAAATTTAGGCGTTAATAATAAAGTTTAATGTTTATTAAGCATTAGATATAAAGAGATGGATTTTCTCTTCTAGATTTTTTCAGCAACTTTATGAGACAGATCCTATTATAATTCTTATTTTAGAAATGAAGAAATTGAGGCAGGAAGAGGGTTATAACTTGCCAATGTTGAACAGGTAATATTCCAGACATTCTGACCCCAGAGCTCAATTTCTTAACCACTACACAATGAAGTCTCATGGTGGCAGGTTGTATTGGAGGAAAATACATTGAGACTCAAAAGACTTAAATCCTGGTTTATGACTCTGCTGTTGATTAAATGTGTGACCTAGTCCTGGTTGAGTCACAACATTTTGGGGTTCCAACTTTCACATGTATAAAATCTAGAATTCAACGGATGAAGAAATCTGTACTTGTCAAGCATTTAAGAACCACTGGATGGAAGAGAAGGTCCATAAATGCATTCTAGAGGAGTACTACAGAATACTAAATCCTCACTCTGTAAAGGGGTATGCAATGATCTTTTTATGACTCCATCAAGGTTGATGATATAATTCTTCCCTTATATAGCTGATGAAAGAAACCAGGGAGTCTTAAACTGTGCTTTGGTTTTCTTAAGAAGTCAGTCTCTTGTCAGTTTCTCTTAGAGTGTTTATGGTAAATTCATTTTGTTTTAAAATTGAATTTATAAAGGCATACTTGTATTGGGCTTAAGTAACTATGGATGTAGCATTCATTTTACTTGAGTAGATGGGCTTTTGTGGCTATGCAGATTTTCAAGGAAGCTAAAAACAATGAGCTAAATTTTAAGAACTAAAGACCCTAACTCTGACTAGTCTTCCTTGAACCGCTTGCACCTCTAATTTTTTGTGCCATTCTTTCTGGAAATGCAAATCTAATATAAATGCAAATATCTAATGTTCAAAAACCATTACCTTGAACAAGAGCTTTATATCATGGCTAATGTAGGCACAGAGTAAAATTACTTTTACAATTAGTCAGCCATAAGATTCTTCCTATTTCAATCAAACCCTGAAATAAGTGAAATATTTGGAAGGAAGAGAAAATGTCACTTACCTTGCTTCAAGTTCCCAGAAGGTAGTATCATCAGACAACCATGGGTTAGAAGGGTCAGGTGGCACAAGAAATGGGTCATATTCTACATACTGTTCCGTGTAACTTAGCAGACTCGAGAGAAAGAAACATTTTCATTTTCCTTAGTTTTCTGTCTGAGGTTTTATCTGATCTTTGTAAGGGACACAATACAAAAACATCTGGCCAAGGAATCCTTGCTTGCTTATAGAATGAAATCCAATAGCAGTTTTCATGTTTCAATAACTTTAATGCATCAACTTATTGTGCTTCTTGGAAGACAAATATGGCTAAGGATTCCATCTCTCCCCATGCCTAAGCAATATGAATTAATATCCCTCCATTAAAATGAGGCAAAATGGAAGAGGTCACTGTGTAAAAGGAAGTGCTAAAGGTCAGTTCCAATCCTTGGTCAACTAGCCCACCCACAGCACAACAGAGAAGTTTAGCTCAACTTGGAGAAGGGGTTAAATGGAAATTTTTTGTCAAAAGTATTTACAGGAATTAGGTAAAGGGGGAATCACTGACAACAAGTTTTTGAAAAAAAATCCGTATCTAAAAAAAACCTAAAGGGAAAAAGGAGAGGAAAAAAGTTGGAGAGGTAAGATCTGGCAATGCCCCAAAGTGAAGAACATGAATGCCTTAAAAACAGACTTAAATGAAAAATAGGAAAATATATAAAATCTGAGTTTCATTCAAATTCTGAAGTCATAAAATAACTGAGTAGTGTGAATGTTAAGATGAATTTACAAAGAGCTTCTAAGTTGCCAAAAGGTAACTTAATAAATTGAAAGTTTCATTTCTCCTAGCAGGAGTGAAAAGATTCAACTCCTTGGAATTATCTTCTGTATTTGATTCTGGTTGCACAAAGACTGGACCTCTAGAGACCTAAGATAATAATGATTATTCTGCCATTCGAAGTACAACAAAAGAGCTCTTTGAAAGTTTTCCATGTTCAAAAAGGAAAAGGAAAATAATATTTCTTACAGGGCTCCAATTATTTATAACTTCTCCTCCCACCAGTTCTCTTACCATATTGAGCACATTTAATTGTCATATGAAAATTTTTTAATTTATATTGCAATACTTACCTATCAGCAACTTTTGACATTTTTAACCGATGTCTATCTAACTGTATTTGCCAATACTTTATCTGAAAAAAGAGATAAAGAAGTAGTTACATTCTCACAATTTTCAGCTCTAAATTCTGATAGACTGAGCAATTCTTAAGAAGAATGTGTTCTCAACCAGTAAAATTTCAAAGTCTGTAGAAAAAATCAGACATGAGGGCTTTAAAAGAGTTAACAAAAAATTAAACTCTGAATGTAAACATAACCAGTATTGCTTTGGAACAGCAGTGAATTTGAACATTCTGCCTGCTTTAACAAAATGTGACTTTATTTTAAAAGTGTTGTAGAAATTTTAGCATTTATCCAAATCAGAATCATTTCTCCCTCAAACATTAAATTCAGAAAATAAATGTGTTTGTTATTCGTTACTATAATTTCAAAATAAACCCTACTTCCTAATACTAACCCAACAAAAGCATCAGTTATATTTAAGAATAATTGTATCAACATTTCAGGACAAATTCTCACATGGACATAATAACACGTGGAAAATTTAAAACTCTCTGAATTACTTTTCTTTCATGGTGACTATAAATATAGTAGAAAAAGTATGTATTACACAACTGATAAACCATGTTACAATAAAATATTAGGGGAAAATAAGCAAAAGGAGAAAAAGTCCCATGACTTAACTAACCAAGATATTTAACTATGATTTGATATGAGACCCTTGGTGTTCGCTTTGAAATATTACTTGGAGCCAACGCTATTGATCAATGTGTGAAACAAGAAACAATACATACCATGACTGTTCGTCAGTGCTAATGAGGGAAAACTTCAAGAGGCTTATAGATATCAGTACTGCAGAAACAAGATTAAGCACTCTTTTGTGAAGATCATGCCACATGACTGGAGGTGGAAAACACATGACCTAATGTCACCAACCTCTTGTCTTCTCATTCTTTAAGACAGAGTTCTGGAGTATAAAATAACTCTTAATAATGGAGGCACCGATAAATCAGTGTGTGTAATTTTAAAAATTGGTTAGAGGAAAAAGGATTTGGGGAATTAAAGAGTGAAGAGTTTTGAAAACTATCTCCATATACTGATACATTTTCAAGTGACTACGTATCTTAAAATCACCTTTTCACTACAAATCTATATGAAACAGTCAATCCTAAAAATCAGTTTTAAAAATACCTACTATTAACATCAACATCTGGTCTTCATACCTGCTACTCTGTAACCCTGTAAACCATTACTATAGGTTGACTCACCTGTTGTTGTAACTCATCTTCTGTTGGAGGTTTAGTTTCTGGTGTGGGTGTGTGGGTAGGACTGTGACTTCTAATATCATTTTGAAGACCATAGACAGACTATATTAAAATAAAAACAAAATATGTTAGGACAAAATACCATTTATAGTCACAGACTTTCTAAAAGGTAGTTTCGTGTTATATATCCAGTAAGATAACTCAAAGCTTTGCTGCATATTGGATTAAGCTTCTTATCAAAATTCAAAAGGCACTGCTATCGTAAATGCTATCACAAATATGGATGTAAAATAGAAGCACAGCTTTTTGGAAAAAATACGTGGTTAGATTAACTGACAGAATAATTGATTATATAAAAAAAAACTAGCTTAGTGTGATAAAGTGTGGGGGTGGGCTGAGAGTACTAAGTTGAGGAATGACAACACAACACAACATCTAATACATATTGATTTCAGAATAAAATAGAGGTGGATATAGAATAGAATAGAAATGTAATAAGCCAGCCTAAAAATAATCTGAGTTTTTTTACATAGGAAAGGAATGGAGTACTAAGGAGAGAAACTAAGTTAAGAATTCCATTGCTGATTTGGTCTCTGATGGTATGATAAAGACACTCCAGGGTGCTCCTACTTTCCCATCTCAAAATTGGGTTATTTACCTTACAATACTGGCCTTGTCATTTGGTTCCATTGGGTGCCACTTGCAAACATCAGTGACCCCTAAGGTTTGCACATCTTTGAAATTCTTAATGTTCCAGTGCTTCTTTACTATTTTGTCAAAAGGTCAAACCCGCTATTTAGGAACGCTCTATTTTGAGAAAGACCCATAGTATATTTAAATAAAGAACTGGGGACGTAAAGGGACAAAAATTCGTTTCCAACTGAAGGTGAGACATCTCATATGTCAACTCAAGGAAGCGGCCAAATTATTTTTGTTTAAATTCAAAGTATTATTACTTTAAAATAAAGAACTTAGTGTAGCTACTGAGCACTTTTTCTTTGGACATGAGAATGAAGGATGAGGACATGATAAAGTTTCATGAGCCCCGCAGAATTAAAGTTACCAAATAGTGGAAAGAAACTATTAAAATCAGCAGAGGATAGATGCTTAACCAAGCCAATTTTCAGGCCCATCACCAACCTTACCAGTAACTCTAAATTCAAATGTGTTGTTAACTGACCTGTTTTCACTTGGACTCCACCTCTTCTTAATGTTAAGCTTTTGGTTCTATACCTGGGCCCTTTTTCCTTATTTCCCTGTTATTTTGATCTTAGCCCATCTTTAACATATTTGACTTGGTTTTCAGACTATCTTTGGTAGGTCCTTCAATCTTCCCTCCTTTGCCATAGCCCCAGTATCTTAAAACTCAATTCTTGTTACTGGGCATACATTGCAACCCAAGGAGTAGCACATATGCTGTGAATTAATTAGTAACAGGACTGAACTAAATGGATTGGACTGTTTCTTTGTCTTTCCTTTTGGCATTTATTCAACATTTATTGAACACCTGCTATATGCTGGATATAATGCTAAGCATTAGGGATATAGAAATAAACAAAAATAGGTATGCTTCTTCTTTCATTGGAACTCACAACCTAAAGGTTACACAAGAATCACACAAATAAACATGATTAAAACTGTGATAAGTATCATGAAAGAAAAGAATGACAAAAGCATAGTGCCTAGAACAAAAGGAGACTTAATTTCCACTGA